GAGTTCAAGTGGTACAACAGTAAGCTCGCACAACGAACTTGCTATGTACCAGGGTGTGCCATGCGATTACGACGACGACGACGTGGATTTTGATGTGCTCGGATGGTGGAAGCGGAACGAACACATGTTCCCATGTCTCGGCATGCTAGCAAGACAAGTGTTATCCGTTCCGGTATCAACCGTAGCAGTTGAACGAGAATTCAGTGCTAGCGGCAACATTCTAACCGACTTTCGAAGTTGTCTTAGCGCTGAATCTCTTGAAACACTAGTTTGCAACCAAGATTGGCTCTTGGCAAGACGTCGAGCTCAAGAGTCATCGTACCTACTCGAATCGGAGCATTACATGAATGCAACAACAGATGGAAGTCCGAGTTCTGAAGAATAAGTTACAATTTTTTTATGTTAATGTAGATATGTAAATGTAATTAGTTTTTTTAGGTGAGCGATATATAAGCTCCTTCAAGGGTTTCTTTACGGTTCTTTACCTCGTCGCTTTTTTTGAACCGTCAGGATATTAAATGTGGTTGTTCTTCAGTTAGTGTATTATTCATTTAAAATATTTAAATAACAACTACATTTTTAGATTTTTTATTTCATTCTTTCCTTAAACAATTGCAAATTTACAATTTTATACTTTAAAAATTTTAAAAAAAAGCAAAAAAAAAATAGGAGTGGGGCCGAAACCGGCCGGTCCGGTACCGGAACCGCCGATCCGTGAACCGGAATCGGTACCGGCCGGCACGGTGACGGTTCCGGTGACATGGGGTGGCTGTACCGGAACCGGCGGTTCCGGAACCGGAACCGTACCGTGTCCACCCCTAGTTCCCAATGTCATGGGTCATGGGAACCAATGTCATGGAAGACCGGAGGGTGCTTCGGTACCCCGTTCGTAAAATTGATAGTTTCTATTCCCGGTAAATCCCGCCACCTTGCCCCAATCTGAACACATCCCCTCTCCCTTCAATTACACCTCTCAAGTTGATTCTGAATAAAATTTTGACTTTAAGTCAAAATTAACATGAGGGTGCAATTGAAGGGAGTGGGGAGGTGTGTTCAGGTCAGGGCAGGGTGGGGGTTTACCGGGGGATTAGGGGGGTAGGAACCGTCAATTTTACGAATGGGGCACCGGACCACCCCCGGGTCATGACATTGGTTCCCAATGTCATGGGAACCGACCTCAACAAACAATGAATTTTCAAATGGTTTTAATAAATTATTCTATATTCCTCGAATTAACCTAATTTTTTTCAAAATGATACTAGAGGATTCATAAAAAAAAATGAAAATTAAAAATTTTGAATTGAATCGTTACTACTTAATTGTAAAATTAATTATTTAATTTTACATTTTTGTGTCCTAAAATTTAATAGAAATTTACTTAAATAGCAATAAAACATAATGATTTTCCCTAAATAGCATCACATGTGTTTTTCTTCCCAATGTAGCACTTTTAGTCATTATGGACATTATTAAGAAAAATAGTGCCTGCACCATCAAGGGTATTTTTGGAAAGTCAACACCAAAATATCTCTCCCTTAATTTCTCAAAAAGTCAAAAAAGAAAGTTTATTTAGGGACGGAGGGAGTATATTGAGTTGTACGAAGTAATAAACTAATTTAAGAGACAAATTAAGCATGTTAAATTTACTCCGAAAAATAAGAACTAACAATATTAAATTTTGAAATATTTGCACTAAATAGCACTAAAACTTAAATTATTTTTCTTAACTAGCACTCAAAGCAATTCAACATAGTTTCACATTCGTATCATTTGTACTAAAAGTACTTCTGTGAAGATCTTGTAATAAGAATATACTATGCGTCTATGCCCGAAAACCTCCACATCGACAGTGTCCAAAATCAATCAAAGCACCTTCAAAGTTCTTAATTGCTCTAAAAAACCATATATTGTCTGAGTTCTCAATTCACCAAAATTTAGATCATATTTGCTTAAAGTTTGGATAACATCATGTCTTAAATGGCATGGTAATGAATGACTTTAATCGTAAAACAAAATCGTACCGAACCGTTTAAAAAATAATGATACATAGCAATTCTACGAAAATAACAGGCCGTGCCAACTCTTAGTTTTGGGAGATTGGGCTCACTTTAGAAATGATGAGTTAGGCTATGTGATCTGAGGTGCGATCCAAGGTGGGGAACGATTGTCGTGCCACACTGGGCGTGATGGGGGCTTGATCGCTCTTCGGTGACGGGCATGTGCTCAAATTTCAAAAGTTTGCCGTTGAAAAACGGCTAGAAAGTCGTTGAACATTATTATTATATTTATTTTTTGTTTTGAAATGTTAGGACTACAAAAATCTATGAATACTAAGATCTTCATTCTTCTCTCCCACTTAGGGTTGTAAATGGATAACTGAAAATTGAATTACGGTCTGCATCCGTATCCATTTACACAGAAAATATCCGTATCCATTAAAACGGTTATTATCTGTATCCGGTTAAAGACATCCGATTGGTAAACAGATACGGATTTGGTAATCATACATACAATTCGTTTATAATTCGCTCCGCATAAATATCCGTTTGATTAACCGTTTATCTGTGTTTTTCCCAATTTCTTAGTTTTATATAAGACATTTTTATATGTAAAATATATGTGTAGACACATAAAAATATGTGTGTATGTGTATTCTATATAAATATCTTTTTACCATACAGAATTATCGTACAATATTATAAATTACAAAAAATAAGAAAAATATTACTCCGTAACAAATTACGAAGTACAATTGAGTGAACAAAAATTAGACCTTAATTTAATTGGAAATTAAAGTATTGTTCCATTTGACTTTAAAAATTAAGAATGAAAAATATATATCTGATATTCGACGGATGCAGATACGATTTCAATATTTAGTATATGCCAAGATCTGTATTTGAATTTGATATCCGATAAAAATAAACAGATATGAATCAGGTAATAGCATATTTGATCCGATTTATATCTGTTTACACCTGTACTCCCACTCATCTCAATTTCTTCCTTATTCAATCAATAAAGTTTTTGTTACTCTGTATAATCTTATTCTCAATTCTATACTCTCTTCAATCCAATTGATCCCAATAAGGCAATAACCCCAACAACCCTTATTATAATATGTTTTTTTGTTGTTATCGAGCTCATAAATATCGGGTGACACATAAACCTAATTTATAAATCAAAAAAGAAAAAAAATTATGAATAACCTATTTTTCTTTTAAAAAACAATAATTGCTTAAGTACTGTTGTAAATTTGTAACAAAGAGTAAACACAACATCCTCCATAATAATCTATTACAAAGTAATATCCTACCACAACCAATTGAATAAACAACTTCATTCATACAAAACAGTAGAAGAAAGATAGAGAAAATCAAATTAATACACGCCGGAGTACATACCAAAATAAATATGTGGTGACACATAAACCTAGTTTATAAATAAAAAAGAATAAAAATCCGTGAATAAGCTATTTTTCTTATTAAAAATAATAATTGTATAGGTATTGTTGTAAATTTGTAACAAAAAGTCTAAACATACAACATCCTCCATAATAATCTATATATATCCTACCACAACCAATTAAATAAACAACTTCATTCATACAAAATAGGAGAAAAAAATAGACCAAATCAAATTAATACGGAGTACATACCAAAATAAATATATAGTGACATATAAACCCAATTTATAAATTAAATCAAAAAATAAAAAATCCTTTTGACTGGGGGCACTCTTTTTTTTGAATGGGGGCATCCACATTATTAACCCAAAAATATTTCTTTTTTTTTATAACTAAAAAGAGCTCATTTGAATGGGGCAACTGCCCCCATTTGATACACATGGAATTGCCCATGCCAGAGTTTTACTTGAACTCAAATATTTATATACATAGAAATAGATATTACTAACATCATTTCCAACACTTGTTTAATCTTAACAAAATCTTTTTTTATAATGCATGCACATGCATGTAACATCTTTGATGATGTAAATGTGAAAGGAGAAGAAAGCACTACTAGAAAAATCAAGGATAGAGACATAGTACACCGGATCAAACAATATTTCATTAGTATTATTTTTATTTATAAAACAATTGAGTTTGATTTTTTTTATTAAATGAAAAACCATGAAGATTTACAAAATAAATGTATGATGTCAACTGTCAAGAATTGTTGAAAAAATAAATAAAGATTTTCTTTGTTCACATATGTGAATTTTGTGTATGAAACTGAAAGATGGAGTGGTTCCCAAACGACAGAGTTGAGGTCGCCGAGCGGAAAGAAAAGACAATAATGCCAAGTTAGACAGTAACCGTAACAAGGTTTTATTTTTGGGATGAAAATTTTCCCTAATGTTTTTGTATATAGCAGGACTCACTAATCAAACTTTATCTTTGGTCCTGAAATGGATGTCAGTATGCTTGCACTATTTACAAACCAAATTAAACTTTAATTTATTTTTTTATTTTTGTTACATATTTGACAAAATATTATACCCACATCGGCATTTATTGTTTTATAAATCTTTTTAATGTAGTTTTTAAATATATAAAATTTATTTTAAAGTTCACATTAATATTCAAGTAAATCGAATTGCAAATAATTTCAATCTAGCTTTTTAACCATTAAGTTTAAATTATTACTATTCTTGCACTATTTACAAACCAAATTAAACTTTAAATTAATTTTTTTTATTTTTGTTACATATTTGACAAAATATTACAACCACGTCATCATTTACTGTTTTATAGATCTTTTTATTGAAGCTTTTAAATATATAAAACTTATTTTAAAATTCACATTAATATTCAAGTAAATCGAATTGCAAATAATTTCAATTTAGCTTTTTAACCATAAAGTGACATCGTTTTCAGGGCAAAAGTATTCTTTAGGACAAAAAAGTAGGAAGATTTTATTGGAGAAATAGAATAAAAAATTGGACAATTTTAATCACATTAGAATACTCTTCCTGCCGTAAAAAAAAAAGAATACTCTTTTCCTTGATAATAATATCTAGCTGAATAGGAGACAATATCGATTTTCCATAGACATTTATCAAAATAATGACTTGATCTCATGCATGCTCTCATCATCACCATTCTTTGAAATAACATTTTATACTCCCTAAAATCATGGTATTCCTTTCCATGATTTTCGTTCTTCCTCTAACATGTCAAAAACACACATATATAAAGGACAATATTTTATACAAGTTTGTTTCTATAAACCCAAATATGAACTCCAATGTTCAATGTTCCTCAAACCTTTGAAAAAAATAAAAAACTAAAATACGTGTTTTGAGATATAATAATCATGTCAAAAATGCCATCATCCATTGTTCTTTCTATCTTTCTCCTTTTGTTGTTATTAGATTTTTCATATGTTAATGGCCACTTCATGGGAGCTTCAACCTCAAGTACCAACTATAAGGGTAGCTTCTCCCAATTGTATGCTTTTGGAGGATCAAGTACGGACACCGGAAATGCTCACTCCATGGGAACCCTTAAAGAAAGTGTGAATGGCTCTTCATCACACGATGATCCAAAGTCGTACACCAAAGGAAGATTAACGAATGGTCAACTTGTAATTGACCATCTAAGTGACTCCCTTGGAATGCATTCTCCTCTTCCTTATCGAAGTGTCTCAAGTTCATCATCGTCAAAAAGTAGCGCGAGTGCTTCCACTTCAAGCAGCAGTCATTCGTTTTCCTCAAGTAGTAACTCTTTTAGTTCGTCATCAAGTAGTGATCAAAGCAAGACAGGAGCATCAACATCATCAAAAACTGGTGCAAGTGTTTCCCCACCACCACCATCAAATGCTTCATCATCTTCAAATGCTAGCACAAATGCTTCATCATCCTCAAATGCTAGCACAAATGTTTCATCATCAAACACTAGCACAAATAAAGAGTCATCATCATCAAAGGTAAACACCGATAATTCATCACAATTAAAGAACGACAAAAATGAGTCAGAATCAAAGGGAAACAAAGGCGAATCTTCGTCGAAGAGTAACACTGATGATTCATCATCACAAAGTAATATCAATGCATCTTCATCAACAAAAAAAGAAGGAGGTTCAACATCCACAAGTAATACAAATGACTCATCATCCAGAAATGATGAAGGTATATTGTCATCGCAAAACACCACAAATGCTAAAGACATTCCTTCATCAAAGACTAACGTTGATACTGCATCATCACAAGAAAACAAGAACACTTCATCATCAGAAAAATCATCAAACAGAAAAAATGATAATTCATCGTCAAATAACAACAAGGACACTTCATTGTCAAACAACAACCAAGACACTTCATCATCGAAGAACAATCAAGATACTTCATCATCAAAGAGCAACAAAGATACTTCATCAAGTAGCAACAAAGACTCATCATCTTCAAACAACAAGGACACTTCATCTTCAAACAAGAACAAAGATAGTTTATCAAGTAAAAACAAAAATACTTCATTGTCAAAGGGTGACAAAGATTCATCACTGTCAAAGAATGATAAAGATTCATCATCGTCAAAGAGTGACAAAGATTCATCATCGTCAAAGAGTGACAGAGACTCATCATCGTCAAATAGTGACAAAGAGTTGTCATCGTCAAAGAGTGACAAAGAGTCGTCATCGTCAAAGAGTGACAAAGACTCGTCATCGTCAAAGAGTGACAAAGACTCGTCATCGTCAAAGAGTGACAAAGATTCATCATCGTCAAAGACTGACAAAGATTCATCATCATCAAAGACCGACAAAGATTCATCCTCATTAAAGAGTGACAAAGATTCATCATCGTCAAAGAGCGACAAAGATTCATCATCGTCAAAGAGCGACAAAGATTCATCATCGTCAAAGAGCGACAAAGATTCA